TTAAGGATGGTGCAGGTTGAAGTCACCCGTTCCATATCTCAAGGGGGCTGAAAGATGGAGCAAGTAAAAGAAAGGACGAGAGGCAGAGTAGCCACTGTTCATGAAGAAATGTTTAAAGTATGATTACTCAGTCTAATTCTCTTTAATTAAAATATTTGTTAGGGAAGAGAATTTTAATAGGTTAAAGATAATGATTGCAAAGTATGAGTGAACATACAACTGACAAATGGGGGCGATTCAGAAAGGAGCTGAGAGTATGGGATTATGTGTGGTTATACATCAGCGTAGTTGCTTGAGCCAGTTTATCTTTAGTCTGTTTAATAGCTTCGACGGCGTCAGAAGGCAGTTTGAATTTTTTTGGTTTTCCTTTGAGTGAATCTGTCAAAGGTTGTATTAATTGTGCACAACCTCGTATGAATCTGCGGTAAAAGTTAATTAGACCTAGAAAACTTCTCAGTTGTGTTAGAGAACTAGGTATGGGGTATTGTTTGATAGTGTCCACTTCTTCTTTGATCGGTTTAATCCCTTCTGGGATTATTGTTTGACCGAGAAATTCTAAAGTTTGAACACCGAAAACACACTCACTTTGATGTATGTTCATTTCATGTTCATTCAGTTTTTTCAACACTGCTCGTACATGCTGTTCGTGTGATTGTAAATCGAGGCTGGCAATTAAGAAATCGTCCATATGCCCCTGCTCAAATGCCATATCTCGAAGTAGGTTATCCGTGAATCTTTGAAATGTCTGTGCCGCATTTCTCAGGCCGAACGGCATGCGTACAAACTCGAATAAACCAAAACGTGTAGTGCTAGCTGTCTTGGGGATATCTTTATCAGCCACCATTGTGAATTGCATTGACCAATTCAGTTTTAGTGAATATGTTCATACCCTGTAAACCGTTTGTGAAATCTTGGATATGCGGTATTGGGTACCTATATGGTACGGTTTGACGGTTGAGGGCTCTGTAATCCCCTCACGGGCGCCAGTCGCCTTCATTCTTCTTTGGGACCATATGCAAAGGGGATGCCCATTCAATGTCAGAGGGATGGATAATACCCAGTTGTAGCATATAATCAAACTCGGCTCTGGCGATTTTGAGTTTATCTGGTGCTAGTTTCCTGGGTTTTGCAAGCACCGGTGCACCTTCGGTTTTGATAGTATGACTTACTTTTAGTTTGTCTTTGTAAGGCTGTGGGTTTCGTCTAGTTAAGTTTAGAAATTCCGCGAGTATGTCTTGGAATTTCGCTGTTGTTACTGGAGGAATTTGAATCATGTTAAGAGATCTGATGTGACTTTCTTTGCCTTTTGTGTAATTCGGAACTTCTTTCAGTGTTAAGCTCCGTTTTTTAGTGTCAACTATAAATTCATATCTCTCTAGAAAGTCAATCCCCAATATTGTCAGATCTAAGTCGGCTACCTGGAAAACCCAAGCGAATTGCCTCCTAAACCCTAAATCTAGGGTTAAAGTTTTCTGTCCAAATGTCGTGATTTTAGTTTTATTTGCAGCTTGAAGTGTAATTTGGGATGTTTCTTGACTCAGCTCAGTTTTATTTTGAGGGATGATACTAAGAGCAGCGCCAGTATCCACCAAGAAATTCAAACTAGGGTTTCTGTCTCTAACATAAAACAAGCGACTGTTTAGGCGCCCTTCCTTAGTCGTTGCGACCTGGGGGGTTACCCGTTTCCCACTGTCTTGGAATTATGCTTAGGCCAGGTGCGCGGTTGCATGCACTTGGTTGAGTTGACACCAAACTTCCAGTGGTACCAACAAAACTGCCCAGATTGTCTGAACATTTGTGACCTGTTTTGTGACTTAGATCTTGGTCGTTGTGGTGACCTGCTCCTATATCTATGACCCATTTGCATTCCGGTGACAGCCTCAGTGAGACTCTTAACACTCGCAATGAGTCCTTCTATGACGGGGTCTTTTGCTAATTTTACTTTTTGTGTGTGATTTATCGTGCCTGATCCAGTTGGAGGACCTCTTTCCATTATTCTATCGACTATACGAGCTAAATGAGATAATGAGGTTTTAGGATCTTGCTTCACCCACTAAGACTTGAAGGGAACGTAAAAACTTTGACGGCGACCTATCACCTAGTGTTTCTCCTTGGAAAAGTCTTTGGATTCTTTGACTGTCTGATAATGATAAACGGTACATTATCTCTCGCCTTAAGATGGTGTATGGTTGTGGTGATGGTGGACTTAAAATCAAGTCACGGATTTCTTTGACGACTGAAGGAGGAAGGACTGAACACAAATCTCTCCAGTGAATCCCTTCAGATTTGATATTGTGTCTCGTGAAATAGTGCTCTAGTTGAGCGAACCACAACTCAGGATTACTACGATCAAATTCTGAATGAATACTTGAACTATACTGTTTTGGCATATGCTTGGATGTTTGAGGTCAACTCTTAACCAACCAACCTAAGCTGTTACAATTATGCCTCCACCCAGTTTTCCGACCGGGTTTGTTGATAGTTTCATCAGTTTTATCAATCATATCACGCTATCGTCAAGTCATGTGGCAACGAACGAGAACAAATGTGGGGACGACCAGTGTGTTTTAGTACCGGATCACAGAATCTCTTGGCAAAGTATGAAGATCATATATTGAATACTTCGTCCGCGAAATTCCACCATTTTTCCTTCACGTTCTGTATGATTCTTCCAAGTCACAATTCCTTTCTATTTCCGCTTTTATTTTCTCTTCAACTTGATCTTCTTAATCTTCTGCCGTCACTTCCGATTTATGTTACATACTACCTATATCTGTTGACATAAGTATCACACCACAGTGATACTGCTGTATGACAATATCCAGAAACCTCTATGAATAACTATTTATTACGTTCGTTGGAGATAAGCTAACAAGAATTCTGTATTATTGTTTTAGGTGATTCCGAAATACCAGTAGCCCGTGGCATAAACCGATCCAATCTAACTTATTATATCTTAAGTTGTGATTTAGAAATATTTGTTCACCTGATGTTAGTTCTAATGGTAGGCTCTAGATTCTTCATTTTAAACAGCTGCTTCTTTAACAACCACGTGATGGTTTGGTTATTATATCAGTGCAGTACGATAATATTTTAATGCGGTGAATTTGCTATACTAAGTTAAACGTCTTTTTAGGCGACTAATAGGATCGACCAATTTATAAACTAGAGTACGCGTAGCAATAGCGGTTATGATGAGTTTGGTAGAAAATGTTGGGGGCGGTTCAAACGGCAGAAAGATGATAGAATACAACGCGTGTGGTTAGGATTCAATAACACTACACTGTAATTGCTTTGTTGTTACTGTTGTCCCTCCTGCCATCCATAAATTGCAGTTTAATTTCCATCTCCGGTGTTCATGAAGCACTTGGTAAACGTTTAGGCAGATATACTGACAATTAACCTATGGTATTCCTCTTAAGCTATTGCCGATATTCCCGGCTTGACAACCATCGTCAAAGTTATACAGTTCCCAGATGTGTTGTGATGGGAGGGGTGAGAACGGATGTCTTCGATGTTGTTAATAAAGTCTTAGATTGAACTTTCATTAGTTTGGTTAGGGAACCTTCCCCACACCCGGACACACGTACAACGGCTTTATGTATGAGGACTCCGTTAGATCCGTTTCAAAACAACAGTGGGTCTAACTACCTCAGCAGTTGCATCCGAATACTCAGTCGCCCGTTGTGATAGAAGGAAAGGATGTTTTGTAGACATTACTGTTGTATCGTTTTCTCTCGCTCAAGAATTCGGTTCCTTCAAGGGTCTAGCTCTGGGGCGTGTCACACCCCTGCTCTTTCGTTACTTACATGTGGCACTAAGGAAAGAAGTGACGAGATACACGTTGCTTAATAATATACCTTCATAAGTTACTTCAGTCGTGTGACTGGCACTATGGATACTACCTCGTGATGCGTCCTCTAGTCTCGGTTTAATGAGTTTCTTAAACTTTTGTTATATATTGGTATCCCGAGCTTATTATTAACCGCTCGTCGTTGTTGCTATAATGTACGAGATGGTGGATTTGCTGATACCTTGCACAGTAATCAATAATTAATGGATATAAACGCCGAGGGATTATGCTTGGATAGGGTAGATGAATACAAACTGATGGAACAGGAAAGTCTAGGAAACACTTAAACCACAAACGTTAACCAAGATTTTCCCACAAAGTACTTTCATGCAGATTTGACAAATGCTTATCACCTCCTGCGTTTGCAGATTGGTAAGTGAAAATATCAGCTTCAATATCTAATGATAATGTAGTTGATCAAGACCGTTAGGTTTACCATAAGACGGTTTAGCCTCAGTGTAACGTTGATTGTCGCAAAGTTTGAGGCTCAGTTTTATTCCGTGAGTCTTTGACCCGTGAGGGCAGTTAAAGTAATGTCAAAGGAAGCAACAAACTTATATATATCGGACACATAGTTTTGCTAGGTCTTAACTTTGCACTTTGTTTTAGGCGTCGAGTCGCGATTGACTATGATCACCACTCCAGGGAGATTACGTACCAGATATTAGGTTTGATCTCTTTGTAGGCCAAAAGGCAACTGACTGTCGTGATGGAATTTATTTGTTGGCAATATCGTGGTATCGAAATAATACCGATATCGTTCAAAGTAGTACGAGCGGGACTATGTAACGGAAACGAAAGTGCGCGAGGTCACGGTTATCGGAAGAAGGTATGGTTTTAGTACAGTTAAACAAACAAGGACAGTAAAACAATCACTGGTACAATTGGTTATAACAATAGTTTTTCCCATTAAACCAATCGCGTTCTCTACATAAAAGTAGGTCATCACAACCTATTCATCTATCACAGCTTTTTTTGGCACTGATATGGAGAGACTTGTGTGTGATGATAAACGGACGCTTAGAAAATCCAAAACTCCATATGTATTGAATGAAAGCATATTGCAACAATTTCACTTTTGAATTAGTAGGTTGATGTGAAAGACATCTTATCTTTGTTTTTGTCAGCTATTATCAAAGCTGTAATCGAATATATTTAGCGCTAGTTATGAGAATATTGGTGTTTTCCGTCCTTTGCTTGCTGAAATATTTCAGAACCTTTTAGTCAGAACAGTGAGTAAACTGAAGCTTATGTTTAGTGTCGGAAAGGCGTAACCATTGAATAGTTATTTTCTTTGCCGTGTCATAATTATCATATCATTGGAGCAAATCATTGTTATCGACTTTTCAGTGGTGGGTCTTACAAATTACGCAGTAATTTTGATACTTCTTGTGAACTCAAACGTCACTAAATAGTTTCATCACTTTTAAGTTGACTAGATTGCTAAAGTTGTTTCAACAACCTAACCAACGTTAGTTAATTTACTTTAGTGGTAGATAGATTGCTGTGCGAAGTTCAGTTTGTTAACTAATAGATGGATGAGTTAATTTCTAAACTGTTGTTGGTACTAATACCAACAGCAAAAGTTTGCTGTGTCACTACACCAATTCACTTTAAATGATGGGCTAACATAGGCCATCGAGCCTCCTGTCCTTCCCAAACTGAAATATGGTAGAATAGGTCCTTAGAATACGTACTCAAATAGTTTGAGCTTCTGGTCGTTTATTAGCAAGAACTAGATTTTTTCATGCCAACTTCCATGCACTTTCACCGGATGGGAGAAAACATTTGACTGATTTTCTGTATTTTAGATAATGCTCCTTTCTGTATATATCTGTATACTGTTTGTGCGTTCGCTCGCAGGATTTTTGGACGATTTTGTGTGTTAATCATGGACCTCAAATCAATATACATAAGAAGAAAGTCTCATACTAGACATTACTCCTGCTAAACGTTTCAATTTTCGTTATACAGTGTTATGGTCGAGACTGATACTAATCTGTAAAGCTAATTATCTATCTAAACTTTTTACTGATGGCTTAATTGCGTTTTGACCATATGTGATTGCGTTTAGTCACATACCATGCGCAGACCGACTGTAGTGTAAAGCAAATTGAGTTTCGTATTCTCAACTATTATGCATGATCTCTGTATATTATCCTCGTAAAATCGCTGTTGTTTTGTGTGGTGCTTTTTTGACTTTTCATTTATGTTTCGTCTCGTGCTTTGAGTAAAAGTTGAATACCTGAATACCTGTGCCATCTTCAAAGGTGTTTTGTTAACAATGTCAATAAAGTATAAAAATATTGGAAGTGGTAAACGAAGTGTTTTTTTTCCATAGCATTTCGCTTATTATTGAGTTTGTGTTTTATGTCGTGCAGATTATACCTGCCAGTGAGATTTATTGGTTTACTATTCAGTTCGATACCTCGCAGGATTTTGTGCCGAATTCATTATGGAGGAAGGGTAGGTAATCATTGATTTTTTACTTTTTTACAGTTGTTACAATTAACTATTTAGAAAAGCATTTATAAGGGAACAGCACTTTTTTCAATTAGAATCTCATCAGGTTTTACTCTAATATATATGTTGTTCTAAATCACAATATGGGAGTGTTTTGAAACTAGCTATTACCCACAAAAGTCTGGTTCAAAATTGAATACGTAAACTTGTTCTCGTTAAATAAATTACATTGTCAGTATGGGGTTGTAGTTATTGTTGAGTTTTTGATTGAGACCATGAATCGATCAACGTTAAATCACCAATGAAAACCTGGAAGCACTGAACGGCCGTTTTGTCTTAGTATGAGACTTCTCAGAAGTGTGCATCCACTATCATACTCGCGGGATCCGAACCCAGGACCTTTGGTTTGTCATGGGGACGCTTGATCTCTAGATTACTGAGCTGGCATCCAACGGTGTAAATGTCTGATTTTAACCAATCCACGATATTGCGCGACTATCTTCCATTGTCTTTGGTGGGTAACTGCCTCATACCCGACACGGGTTAGCTCCATTGGTCACGGTTTCTCACTAGGACTCCGAGAATTTCCGCTCGAAACTGGTCACTAGTGAGCACATGATGGTCGAATATTGGTCGACTCATGATCTCAATCAAGTTATATTTCCTTGGTTTAGTGTTTCACTCCAGAAATCAGTCGGTGAACTTTGAATTTCACGGGATACAACCTGAGAGCATGTATTTGATTTGTTATATTGAGAACTACAGTTACAGGTGTAATTAGAATTTACCACTGGTACGGATTGACAGAAGATGGTTCTAAGAGAGGTACTCATACACATTAATAGCCCCCGAACGCCCTGGTACGGCCGAGAGTGGGGAGAGTCCGCTCTCCCTCTCGAAATACTCTCACACGGCCGCGCGTATACAGCCTCTGCCAGGGAAATCCTACTCATTGCCTTCTCGCGGCGGGGGTGTTGTTTACGAAAATGAGAGGACGAAAAGCGAACGTCCGGCGCTTTAACCGGATCACAAACCAATGGTGCACATGGGCTCCAGTATCCTGCGGGAACAAATGGCGTATGAACCAATCGTTGGTCACCGGCTACCATGGGATTGCATCTCCTTACGATGCTCCACTGCCTTGTGGGTTAGACCATTTGGTCAAAGGCTCGGGGTGTGGCCCCCTAAGACAACCACCTGCTTCGGTTTGGGCACCCGGGCAGTATCACAGCCCACACACAAACGATGAACTCTATGACTATGGCAACGAATTTTCTCGCTCCGATATATAATCAATCGATTCCAATAATTATTACTATTATTGTCATTATTATTACTATTATTATTACCATTATTGTCATTATTATTATTATTATCATTATTATTATCATTATTGTCATTATTATTATTATTATTATTATTATTATTATTATTATTATTATTATTATTTTCCACATTGTTCTCCCTCTTTTATACTTATACAGCGGCTCGTCTTTGGTAGAAATTCGACTGTATCTAAACGTTCTCGAGTCACTGTCCGGTTGAAAATTGTATGTTACCACCGATTACGAGAACTGAAGCAGTTTTTCTGAAACCACGTGCACCATTCAAACTGGCTGCCTTCAACGTTCGCACACTAGTGCAGGTCGGACAACAGATAGGGCTGGCTATGTCTTTGGAAAGTCTTAATATTGATGTTTGTTGTCTATCCGAGACCCGTATTCAAGACTCTGGCGAAGTACTACAAATTCGATCTCCATCTGTCGCTTCGAAAAGCTTGTTTCACGTGCGCTTATCCGGGGACCCTGTGGCATCTTCGTTTGGTCTTGCTGGCGTTGGTGTCGCACTAAGCGCTAGAGCTGAGGCAGCACTAGTTGATTGGATCCCCATTAACAGTCGGCTATGTGCTGTTAGATTAGAAAGTTCCATCAAAGTGAGAAGAAATTGGCGTGAGAAACGATGTCTTTTCGTCATCTCCGCCTATGCCCCGACAGATTGCAGCCCGGATGCAATCAAGGATGAGTTTTACCACCAGTTATCTGTTCTTCTCCAGAAAGTGCGTTCGACAGATATTGTAGTACTAGCCGGAGACTTGAATGCTCAGGTCGGGCGTCTAGGCACAGAAGAGAGTCGTTTAGGTGGCCGATGGGGACTCGTTGGTCGCAGGTCAGATAACGGGGACCGTCTACTGCAACTGTGCACAGACCACAACCTGTTTCTGGCTAGCACTAACTTTCGGCACAGTCATCGCCGATGTGCCACCTGGCGTCCTCCCTCTGCATCCCAAGCCTGGACTCAGATTGATCACATCGCGATCAGCTTCCGCTGGCGTGGTTGTGTAAAAGACTGCCGCTCCTTTTGGAGTACCTATCTGGACTCTGACCATGCCTTGGTCTGCGCCAATCTTGCCTTACTTTTCAGTGGACAACGAAGTGACCACCATCAAAGGATTGATGTCAACAAGTTGGTTGCAACTTCTGTTGCAAGTAAGTATCGAACCGAGCTAGCCTCTAGGCTAGCTACCACCCCACCGAAAAGTATAGAGGAGCATTGGCTGCAATTGCTTGACGCCATGAAAATGGCGGGAACAGTCAGTTGTGGGTTTGCGAAACGTCCCGCTTTTAAGAACTGGGTTTCTTCTGGTTCCTTACAACTCATTGAAGCCCGTCGGTCTACTCCGGGTGACCGTGAGTTTGACCATAAACGAAGGATGTTACGTAGGGAAATTAGGCAAAGCTTGCGTAAGGACCGAGAAGCCTGGTGGTCGGAGCGTGCTAATGAGCTGGAAGCAGCAGCTGCATCTGGTAACTACCGGAAGCTCTTCCAGCTCATCCGAGCCACTGGCAGCAAGAAGTCTGGTGTGAGTGAAACAATCTGCGAGGATGATGGGATGCCAATCACTAACATCCATCGACGTCTTGGACGATGGGCAGAATTTTTCGAAGGGCAGTTCAACTGGCCTGCTGCTCCGGCAACATCGGTCAGGCTGTCCTGCCCTCCATGGCCGGTGACGACTGATCCACCAAACGAGGAGGAAGTCCGCAAGGAACTCCAACTCTTGAAGCGTTACAAATCACCTGGCCCAGATGACTTACCTCCGGCTCTTTTTAAAGATGGTGGTGACTTTTTGACTAAGGAATTGACGACGTTGTTTACAAAGGTTTGGGAACTAGAGTGTGTACCAACGTCATGGAATGAGTCGATAGTTGTCCCTATCTTTAAAAAGGGTTCACGTCGTTCCTGTAACAACTATCGGGGGATAAGTCTACTTCCGATTGCGTCCGAGCTATTGGCTTCCGTCATACTTCGTAGGTTGTTCAAAACTCGGGAAAGATTGACTCGCGAGGAGCAGGCTGGGTTTCGTTCTGGTCGAGGATGTATTGATCATATCTTCACCCTCCGCCAAATGTTAGAACATCGCCATACTTATCAAAGGCCAACAATCGTAGTGTTTCTTGACATCAGGGCTGCCTTCGATTCGTTGGACAGGACTGTTCTCTGGGATTGTCTATTGAAGAAGGGTGTGCCTGAGAAGTTTATTAACATCCTAAAAGCCCTATATAAAACACCTCAGGCAGAGTGAGGGCATACAACCACCTCTCTCCATTGTTCCATTCGAGTAGTGGGGTTAGGCAGGGTTGCCCAATCTCACCATTCCTCTTCAACTTTGCCATCGATGACATTCTGGAAACAGCTCTGATGAATGTAAGTAATGGTGGTGTAGATCTGTTGCCTGGAGAAAGACTTCTCGACCTTGAGTATGCGGACGATATTGTCTTACTGTGCGATAATGCCCAAAGCATGCAATCCGCACTTAATCAGTTGGCAATCAATATCCGTAGGTAAGGTATGTGTTTTGCACCTTCGAAGTGCAAAGTACTTCTACAAGACTGGCAGGATTCCAATCCTGTACTCACCCTGGATGGTGAGCAGATAGAAGTAGTCGAGAAGTTCGTGTATCTAGGTAGTTGCATAAGTGCTGGTGGGGGTGTGAGTGATGAGATCAATGCACGTATAGTGAAAGCCAGAGTGGCTTATGCCAATCTGGGCCATCTTTGGCGCCTTCGTGATGTTAGTCTGGCTGTAAAAGGTCGGATCTACAACGCGTCGGTGAGAGCAGTTTTGCTCTATGCTTGTGAAACCTGGCCTCTCCGAGTTGAGGACGTTAGACGACTCTCTGTGTTCGATCATCGCTGTCTCCGAAGGATTGCTGACATTCAGTGGCAACACCATGTCAGTAATGCAGAGGTTCGGCATCATGTGTTTGGGCACAGAGATGATAATTCAATTGGTGTCACCATCTTGAAACACCGACTTCGGTGGCTTGGACATGTTCTACGAATGTCGTCCCAGAGAATTCCACGTCGTGCATTATTTGCCGACTCTGGGACTGGTTGGAAAAAGCGGAGAGGTGGTCAGTGCATGACATGGTGTCGTGGTATGAAAGAAAGCTGCAAAGGACTGGCTTGTGTTGGTCCTTCACGACTCCCTGGTTGGGGTCTGAGAGATGGTGCTACACAGTGGCTAGAGACGTTATCAGATATGGCTCAGAATAGAAGCCAGTGGCGATCCTGCTGTAACCTTCTTTTACTTTCTTCATAAAAAGTGGTTGTGTCTCCCTTACTTGAAAGATTTCTTCTGATTGTACCTTTCCGTTCCATTGTTACGACCACACTAAATTACACCAATCTCTTCGTTATCGTTCTCTTTCGTGCTCCTTGTTTTTTTTTGTTTTTTTTTCTATCTCTTCGAAGTTACATTGTTTTGTGTAGCGCATATATATTGGCGCTCTCTTGTACCAATATTTATGTGTTAAAATAAATAAATAAATAAATAATAGCCACTGAATAAGACCGGATGACTGGGAAACGTTTAGTAGCATTACAATATTTTTTATCCTACTCAAACTCTCTTAACTAGTTACGACACCCTGAATGTTAACTCTAAAAATATTAATTGACGTGTTACAATTATTTTGTATCAGAATCCACAGTATTTTAATCGGTAATCCTTATCTACTGTCCCATTTCCAGTAGTTCGGATAAGAGTTCTCACGGTGGTAGGCGTAAACATAAGAAATCTCGAACTTCAAGGCAGCCAATGAGTGGGTAAGTTGGGGTACCTCAATTTTTACTGTTCAGGAACAAGATTATCAAGACTTAGAAAATCTTGTTACTGTTTTCTTTAAAAATATGACATGGTTTTTAATGCGGATCAGTGCAACCAAACTCTTGTATTCAATTGTAAGGAGTAATTTTCAACTAATGGAAAGCTCGTCAGCCCTGATTAGCGAAATTCCACAATGAATACGAAAATCCTTTACCTGGAGATCATTTAAGATATTTACTCACGTTTCATAGAATATGTGAACCGCAGATTGATTATATGTCTATTTGCATTTTTGTAATTGATAGAGTATGAGAAGCAGAAATACTGAAAGTACTAAAGAAATTTCTATTTTTCACATTGCAAATATTCACACTAATAGTTAGCATGTGTTCCTGAAATGCATACAAGGTGTATGATTATATGATTGTGATTGTCAGTTCATTGTAGAAGTAAATAAGTCTAACACATTTATGACGCATGTCTTTAAATCAATGACAATCATCTACTAATTAATTTTGATTTGACTACCATGTTATTGCTTTATATTCCGTATGTGACTCAATTCAGTTGGTGATGTATTTCAGGTAGAACTTTGATTATAGAGAGCTTATCAATGTGAATGATATTTGATGTTTTTATATTCCATAGGAGCATATATTTCCTGGTATATCATGGCTGACTTGAAACTTTGTTTTCGCTCGTTTTATTTGCCGTCGTCCATATGTACATGTTCCTTTTCGTTTTCATATTCTTCATCACTTTCGTAGATCCCAAGAAACTCAAGAGAGTAGAGATGGTAAAGTATCTTCAGTTCAACCAAATGTACAAGAGTAAGTCCCTGAGTATTCCAATATGAATGGGCAAATGTGTGAGTATGTGTTTTTTGATTATGTGGCTGTAATCAGTGCTATCTGTTAGTGAAGGTTCTTTGGAACTGATAGGAAGATAATTTGATTGGAGTTTCGGGAGGGTATATTGATTGACTATCTGTATCGCAGAGAAGTATACTATTAATAAACTGTACCTCCTTTATAGTGTATCTTGGCGTCGAGTCGCGGTAGGCTATGAACACCACTACAAAGGAACGCGTGCCAGGATATGCATAGAATCCCCCGGAAGTTAAATATCAGAAGGCAGTTAATGGACCAAGTCGAGATATATCTGCTGGCGATCTCGTGGTATCGAAAGAATACCGAGATCGTGCCAGGATACAAGCTTGGTTACAGAACGTAACCGAATTCGCGCGGGGTCACAATCAAAGTGTAAGAATAATAATGGAAGCACAATATAGCTGTCATTAGCACAGTTAAACAAAGAGCACATTAAATCAAGCACTGGTACAATTGGTTATAATACTAATTGTTTTCACTAAACTAATCATGTTTTCGTGATAAAAACAGGTCACTACAATAGTATCTTCGGAACAGTTCTTTTCTTTTCCTAGCTTGTAAGGCATCTGATCAGATTCCTTTTCTAGCGGATTGGTGAAAAACTCGAGAAATGGGTTCATTGACAAGCAAGGGAACTCTTCATATGCACGCTTCTGATAAACTAACTGTCACACACTGTCTACCTAATGAAATGTCAAGGAAATTTAGTTGATTGTCACACTCATCCTTACCAGTGAAATCGATTGCCGGGTATACACTATTAAACGTATTTGAGAGTTCTCTCTTAGTATTTGGATCTACGATGATGAATGTATCGTCAGTAAAGTTATTATCGATCTAATTTCTCGGTAACCTTATTGAGGGGTCCGTTTTCTAATTTTAGGAAATCAGCTAAATTTAGGCTTTAAAGTAATCTTGTAGCTATTCTACCAACTTGTCTACAATAAATATTTTTAAAGATATAATGAAAGTTCATCGAACACCTTAGAAGTGATTATTTAACACTATTCTCAGGCAAACCATAATTGACTTGTTTTCTAGTATTTATTTGCATATAAACCCGACAGTTTCGACTGGTGCTACATTGGTAAATAAAGATAAGAGATCTAAAAATATCCCGTTCTCCTCCATCAAGATTCCCCCCTTTCAGCTTTGGTAATGAAGTCAAAAAAGTTTTTGATGCTTCTTTTTACGAATGATTTATACATAGGTTTTAAGATTCTAACCAGCCACATTGCAATTTTGTGATATGGAGAATTATGCTTCTCTACAACTGGGCGAAGGAGAAAACCCGTCTTATGAACTTTGGTTGTACCAGATTGTCGTAATATAGTTTGATCCAACTGATGTAAGTGGATCATGAAGTTCGGACGAGATAACTCGATTTCGTTTTAGTTCTCTAAGAATCTTAGTCATCTGTTTCTCTACTTATTTACTGGTCTTTATTATCAGTAGTTTTTCGAAATTTGGTAAGATCACTGAGCATTGAACTCAATTTATCAGTGTATTGCGTTTTATTTATTAAAATTATATCTTTATGTAGTGTGCTTTTGATCAAGGTATCATTTTTGCTTTGTTAAAGTATCTCGATGCTGCCTGATTGTAATGATGACAATTAACGACTAACGTGGTCTTAAACCTAGCTAGCTCCTCTGGTGAGGTTGAGAGCAAGTTATTTGTTTAGGAAAATGGATTGTCAAACTTATAACCCTAGTTTGTGTTCAGGAGAAACTCGTAATATCCCTATCTCTTCCTTGGCTGGATGTGACTTGATAAACGATTTTACGACTTTCTTCACATTCTGTCGTTCTTTACCTCTTCCATTTTATATTCAATAAATGATTATATTTACGCAATTCTTATTACATAAATTCGTAATTTTCTATGATTATTATTTTAAAGTTTATTTATCCATGTTAAAGTATTGACTGGAACTTTTACTTTTTTATCACTCTTATCATTATTGATGCGCCTACTTTCTTGCTATAAATCTGCACTTCTTACCTATTATGGTGTAGTTAGGCTATCTATTTTATTATGATCATTGATTCATAAGCTGTCGTGATCGGTGTAATGTTTATATGCATCAATATAAATATTTCTGCATATTAGAATAAAACCTAATGATGATCTAATTGCAACAGTATTGTTTGCTTATGTGATTTGTTTTAATTTTCACAATGGGGATCTTTAGTATTCTTGTGTGGTAGTGAAAGCCTAGTATGGTTGGTCGCTGAGTGTGGATAAATAGCCACAACCTACGGACTATTAAATATGTGGTTTTCGTCCTTGTCGATTTCTACTCTGAAATCACTGTGTGTAACTGCTTGTAATTGTATTGAATAAAGTATTCTCTAGTGTTATCTGGTATTTTATTTTGTGTCGCGAATCCTGGTTCTGAAATAACGTGATTAGTCTTATTAATGTATTATCGTAATATACGTTCGAGAGGAAAACAATATTGTAAACCGTCCGTTATATCAATTCTATGGGAGCAAATATTTCCTGGTATATCATGGCTGACTTGAAACTTTGTTTTCGCTCGTTTTATTTGCCGTCGTCCATATGTACATGTTCCTTTTCGTTTTCATATTCTTCATCACTTTCGTAGATCCCAAGAAACTCAAGAGAGTAGAGATGGTAAAGTATCTTCAGTTCAACCAAATGTACAAGAGTAAGTCCCTGAGTATTCCAATATGAATGGGCAAATGTGTGAGTATGTGTTTTTTGATTATGTGGCTGTAATCAGTGCTATCTGTTAGTGAAGGTTCTTTGGAACTGATAGGAAGATAATTTGATTGGAGTTTCGGGAGGGTATATTGATTGGCTATCTGTGTTGTGAATAGATGTTCACTGACTGATTATTTATTCGTTCCTAGGCAAAGAGAATATAAGGGATCTATGTGTGTATTTTCCAAAACCTTATATGCAATGACTGCAAGCACTGTTGTTGTAGGTGAATAGATATGTACGGGTGATAGAGGGATCCGGGCTGTTTGATTTTTAGCTAACTGCTCTGGTGTTTTTGACAGAAACTAAGCAGAAATTGTTGTGGTTTTGGATATTTTTGATGAGAGTGCTGGATTATTTGCAGAATGATGGGGAGAATATTTTGAAAATTTTATCTGTTGTCCAGTTACTTTTAACGCTCCAACTATCGAGTTACAGTTCTGACCAGGTATGTACGTTATCTGTTGAATTATTTGTATGATGTTGATTTTTGCTTTGTTAGTTAGCAAACCTTTTTATATATGATTTGAATATATTGAATTGGTTTTAAGATTCGATTTTCTGTTATTCAGGGCTCCCGTTTCATCGTTGTTTGGTGATGAATCTTCTGCAATTGATGTTGTCCCTTCGACGTCAAAACTAACAAGTCCACCTTCCAAAGCCGCGAGACAGAAAAAGAAGCATCCTAAAGTAATGGAAACGTAAGTGCTGTGGTTTGCTGTAGATTGCTTTTTGTTGTAATTCGCAAGCTTGCTTTCTATTTCTGATCGGTTCTTACTTTTCGTTTCAGTGTTCATCTTTCTGAAGATTTCTCTAAGTGAGTTATTTTTATCAATATTCACCATTTTTGTTTTATTTGGAAAACGTATGATCGGTTTTTACTTGCGTGAAACACGTTATCTTATTTTGTCTATTTTAAGAATGAATATCAAAAGACTTTCAATACCTAATCGACCGGATGGAGGGGGACATTTGGGCAAAGAAATGTATGTGACTGTTAATTGTTGGGATTTTTCGATAAAGCCCAAAATTGTTTACATGTATCGAGCAGAAGCTCTCGCTGTATATCGTGGTGATGAAGGAAACAGGACTGAAATACGAATGTCTGCTAAGGATAAACGTGCTCTAATTAAACAGGTGGCTGATAGGTAAGTATTTTTCAGATACACTTCATGGTATATTATCATTTCATTTATTTTGTAGTTTACTGATCATGTATATTGACATTTATTTGTTTGAGCAAGAACAATTTGACTGGGGACGTCACACTTGAGTGACTAATACTCTTTCAAACCTTATTACCTACGAATGTTTTAGCTTACACGTACACTCATTTTCGAAGTAGAAATTTTATTTTTACCAACTAGTATTTGTAACTTTCCTTGCTGACTAATTAAAATGAGTGGAGTGGCATTTTCCAACTATGTATGACTATTCCTCGTTTGTAAAATTGGTATGCCTGAATTAAACTCTAAAGAATCACATGAGAAAGCTTAAGAGCTATCAACCATCTTAGGTTAAATTCTTTCATTGTTTAAACAAAGACGGATGTTACGAAAATGACCCTAATATTTGTAAAATTCTAGGAAAACTGTCGACAATCGATTATTGTGTAAAATGACCGATTCGAACAAGTGAACAACTTCAAATATTTGGATTTACCAGTTGCATGACGCGATGAAAGAACACTTGAATTTGAACCGACTGTTTGTGATTGATTTTCATGACAAAATAAAGGATTTTAAGAGAAACACATCAATATAGATTGACAATAAAACTATTTTTGCTTTACGGATAATACCCATACTAGATTTGAAGATTTTCTTGATGAACACCATGTTTCATATCTAAATTGTGGGTTTATATGTAAAAATATTCTGTACTTGCGCTCAAAATATTTATCTGTTTATCGCAATGATGTCGTTGAACAGTTATGCATGATGTAAAAAGTATGTTCAACTACTTTTTATAACACATATTGCATTATCCTTAAACTACGTGTTTCTGTCAGTTGTTTATACTAAGATGGTATAAAACTTATAAAACGGTCCTATTGTTGTGTTTAAGTACTTTCTGTGCGGTCTATATAGGATTTCCAGAAAAGCAATTTATCTTCACTTTCCTCTTCACACATTTTTAATATAATAGTCAAGCATTTTTTCGTTTGGTATCATACATGTACCAATAGCAAAAAGTAAATATCTCGGATAAGAAAAATATCAAATAAACCACTTTCTAATATAGCAAGAAGAATATCATCGAGTATCGTTCTATAGGTGAACCTGTGACAAATCTTTATGACTTGTCTATGGATTTCTTCTTTAAATTTGATATTCACATTCATGGAAAATTTCTGAAAACTTTGTTCCCGGTGGTTCTTGGAATTTTGATGTCTGCGTTGCCTTATTCTGAAATTGATGGTTTTCTTTGACCTACTAATTTGTGAAATCTTGGTGGACAGTTTCATTATCGGTCTTGGTAACAATTTGATTTTGTTGGTGTTTCTACTTACGACAACAGTATATGGTTGCTCTCTCTCTATGTTTACATAGTTTACACGACTGTATAATTTACGATGGTGGCCATGACATATACTCGGCAGATCGTTTGCCAGGGATCGGAAAAGTTCCTACTGAGACAGAAATGAAAATTGTTGATCCACTTGGTCGAGATAATCTTATTCTAAAATATCACTTGATGGAAGTACAAACGGTGTCAACTGACGATGTACAACAATACGTAGAAAACCCAAAAGCAACATCGTTAAACATTCCCCAAGTAATGTTCATGTTTTATAATCATCCTTTCTAGGAATCCATAAGATTGTTAGATTGTATATTAAGAACTGTGTCGAAGCAGTCGTTAATATCTCTTGGAAGATCTGCTTTATTTTACGAAAAGCCAGTGAAAGTAATTGCAGATAAGCTACTGAGTATCCACAGAGGTTTTATCACTAGCATTAGACCTCAATGGAAGGTCCGTATGAATATAGACATGGTATTTCTTGAGATTTCTAATTTGCTTGTTTTTGAAGACCTACAAGGCTTTTTTCACAGCTGGTAACCTAGCAGATGTTATGTACGAAAAGTATGGAGACAGTATGTACAGATGTAGCTCACAAATGGCTAATGATTTGAGAAGAATACGTGTTGAGACTGACAAGTTTTACAAAAGTGACAATGGTATGTGGCTTTTTTATTTACTCTAATAAAAAACTATTCAAGGACATGCATATTCTAGACGTTTCACTGTGCATGGAATATCTTCTGTGCCAGCTGACAAGCTTATGATCGAGGAGAGAAAGCAGTCTGTAGCTGCGTACTTTGATGAACATCACCATATTAAGTTGAAATATCCTGATCTTCCGTGCATAAAGGTAATGTGCATTTAGTGTTTCATTCCTTAGGTTGATCAAAAACGAGAGGTTTATATGCCGATGGAATTACTAAATATTCTTCCTTTTCAAGCACCTAACGCGAGCAAGGCTGATGTGGCTAGTGAGGTTATCCGTTGTGCAGCGGTACGTCCGCAAGAACGTTTTCGAGAACTTACGGATTTCACTAATTCGATTTCAAAGTAACTGTATTTCCGTATTTCGATTTTATTTGCACGGTAAATGATAATAATGCGTTAAAGTTTTGAATATGTTTTATCTCGTTTTCCTTATCAGTTAAAGCGTTAGATGTGATGTGCGATTGGTTACTAACAAGCTGAAGTGTAGGCCCCATTATATCTTAATTAAAAAGTCATTTTCCAATTTAACACAACTTAGTAGTACTTCTCCAGAAATACGAATTCCAAATGTGGATAATGTGGGAAGAGATGAAAACTTTTGGGAGGTGATTTACGAAGTTTAGTCTACTGGAGATGAAACCCTTGATTTGTGTTTCGGCACTTATCACCAAGACCTACTTCCATTCTTGAGAAGATTAATCAGTCCTACGTGATTCTTATTCTGGTGCGTTACCACTGATTTTCTGTTGGATTGAGATATTTATACTGACTTATCACTGAGTATTAAATAGTGTCATCTCTGTCTAGCTGTTTAGTGCTGACTGAATTCTCTCGGTCAGGTTTAAGTCTAGGCCTTCGTGTAAATGACTCGGGGGTCGTATGCGCTGTGCTTAGCTGGTTGTTTGGATACAGTGTTGTTAGCTACTTTTTCAGGTTTGTAATTTACATAAGTATGTGATTCGAATTTGGATATGGGCATCTGAAGAGTTCCAAAAATAGTAGACTTTTGTAAAGATTTTCCCGTAGACAAGTAGCATGAGCTAAATATTCATGGCAATTCATGTGGGTTGTTGTTTGCTTTCGGTGTATTTTAAAAAAAACTTGAACAAGATCGTTGAGTAACACAAATGAGTAGACGAATAAAATTTTGTTTATCAGTCACTGGGTGCCATAAATCTTGACAGTGGTGTTTCTCAAATTAACTTAATTATGTCCATTTATTTCTATCTTAAGGGCACATCGACTATTCCAGTTGTTTCAAGTAAAGATAGCAAATAAACCTGTAGACGTAAAGTCACGTGTACTCCAGTCACCCAAAGCAGTTTTTAATCGTCCAGATAAAATCCAACTGAAGGCTGGAAGTTGGAATACTCCAGATTTTCATGAACCGGCTAAACGTGGTGTTGCAATTCCATGGGGAATACTTTGTGTTCCAAACAACCCAGTATGTTTAAGATTTTGGTTTTCCTTATTGTAGTGATATTTTTAAGTTTTATGGATGATTTGTTCGCTGTTGATGCTATTGGTGTTCGGTAGCGTATTGAAATAATTACCGACTGATGATTACAAGGTTAAGGTTTCTAAATAAATGAATCTTCTTCATAACAATAAATGACCAACACGGATATAATGAACATTGAATGATAGTGTAAGATTCTAAATGATAGTATTGTATAGGATCTCAAGTAGCTTGTCAAAATTAGATATCACCAATTAATAAGAATCAGTATTGGATCACTGTAAAATAGATAGATGGACATCTCGAACATGAAGTTTCGAATGAATGTGTTTTGGCTTATGTTGCCATACCTGATTGGCATGACGAATGAAATAATTTAGTAAAAATAATGCAAAAAGACTTAAGCTTGGGAATATGATTTAAAACAACAGTGAGAATGTATGTATGAAGGAATAGTCACTTGACAGCACTTGTATAGAGACGATCAGGATAACTATGATATTATACTACTTTTCAGTTCAACCGCTTAATATCAAATAAACACATTGCAATGTTAAATAGAAATCTAGTGATTGGATTGCAATTTGATCGGTCACCGACCAGTCGAATTCTGGGAAACTATTAAAGACTAGACAACATGACATTGTTTACTACTACTTTTCAACTAAGGATAGGGAGTAAAGTGGTCGAACGCGTCGACAACTGCACTTATCTCGGAAGTCTGATCAGCCCTAATGGGTTGTCTGACAAAATCTCATCATGGATTCAAAATGCTCATTTGACTTTTGCCACCTTACGTCACCTATGGTGAAGGCGAGATATCCGTCTATCAATTAAGGGACGAGTATACTGCGCAGCAGTTCGTTATGTTCTACTTTACGGCTGCGAAACGTAGCCATTAAGAGTAGAAGATACCCGTAAGCCACCTATAAATATTACTCACATCTGCTGGGATCACAGGGTAAGTAATAGTGAGGTTAGACACAGGGTATTAGGGGATGATGGTAAATCAATTGATGAGGTTGTGAATTTTCATCTACTGAGATCGTTGGGTCACGTGTCAGGTATGCATGAACACCGCTTACCACGACGCGCAATGCTGACTAGTGTTGGAAGAAAGTTAGGAGCGGCCAAACCAAAACGTGGCATCAGTCCTTGAAGTAACTAACTTCTAGTCTTAGCCATGTTGGTAGATGTAGACTACTTGGTTTGGGTCTGCGCGACTATCGTAACCAATAGTTGAAGCCTCTTGTTGACATGGCTCAGAATCGATGACAATGGCGTCGGGGTATAAACTCTGTCTTCCCTTTAACTATTTGTTATAACTTGTGACCTGTGCACTCTGTTAATGTATAACGTAACGATACCGCCAATTAGAGAGCAGTGAATTATCGATCGGACCGATGACGCGTAAACCCGTACGATCAGTCTAGAGTACTTATCGGTCCTGATTCCTGCCTAGTCCAGCCAGTTAGGTCCAGAACACCAATCTCAGCCTCTGCAATATAAATCGTTTATTTCAAACATACTGGTTTTATATACCAACCACATCGTACCATAAAATAGGAAACAACATTTGTATAACATTTAGCTAAAAGTGGCTGTGAGTGTGGGAGGTAGTAATTAATAGACAAGGCATAATTCAAGAATGGTAAGTTGTACAATAATAGTTCATAGGTCAAATAAAGCTCATAATAAGAGGGACATGGATATATATAGTTTAGTTATTTAACAATCATACGATAAAAGTATATGCATAGTATTTGTCCATAAATGGATCCCAAAAGTTACCATTCATTATGCTTATCGGGACATAACACATTTATGTGCCTGGTCCTACATTGTAGCTGACTGACTACTTTCCGACCAAGTAGTGTGTGTAGAAAGTACCTTATAAACACATATGGATTGTTGTTTCCTTATTGAAGTAAAACAATCATTTCTCAATAACAGCGAAATAATGTTTGTTAATGCGAGAATTTTTCATTTAACCACGTCAAAATGTGAAAGAAACTCTTTTAAAAAAGTGATGGCCTTGCCTTGTCGTTTTGATGACAGTTACATGGAAACTGACTAAAAACATTATTGCTTGAAGTATATATGATCCTTTACTTCATCAGTGTGTAATTATTTTTATGCTATTTTTCAATCTCTTTGTAATATTTTGTTCTTGATTTTTATCGTAGCGATCTAGAGGCGACGTGGAAAAAGTCACAGACGAATTACCAAAGGCCGCTAACCGTTTCGGTGTTTCCTTCAGCAATAAACCATTTATATCACAATGCTCTCTTAACCAACTTGAAAAAAAGTTTGAGGAATTTCATCGACAGGTAAGTGAACCTAATTTCAGGGAGTTGGTTTTGATTTCTGTGGCAGTTACTAACAAATTCGAATTTTTCCAGGGTTGTAACTTCATTCTGTTGATTCTGTACGATGATTTGGCTTACGGAACAATCAAACGTTTAAGTGATTTAAGAATGGGTATCCGCACACAATGTGTTCGTGGTAGCACTCTACGCAAACCTAATGTATTTCGTAAGTATCTTTTATTCATTCATATTCGTTTGTTTCAATTTTTAAAACGAATGGACTAATTCAGTCTGGTTTGTTTTAGCCAACCTCTTATTGAAACTCAATGGGAAACTTGGTGGTGTTAATTGGATTGTCCCAGATCTTATCGAGAACAGTCAGGATTTAATAATGGTTTTCGGTGCTGATGTTACTCATCCAGCACCGACACAATCTCATCAGGTTCTCAAGTCAGTTGCTGCTGTTGTTGGATCTGTCAGTCCTGAGTTAATGCGATACGGGGCTGTAGTTAGACAACAAGCAACTACTGAGCGAGGAAACAAAACAACAAGAGAAATTATTGATAACTTGCATCTGTCAGTTGGAGAACTGCTCACGGTTAGTCCCTTTAAATTCAATGCTATGTACTCTCTGTTACTACTGTGAAGTATTATTTTTCTCTACTTCTTTATTTCTTTCGCAACAACATTATAATTCGGGAACATTTATATTTATAATATAGCTGTATTTGCGGAATACGAAGGGACGTTTTCCTAAACGTATTATATTCTATCGCGACGGTGTCTCAGAGGGTCAGTTTGAAAATGTTTTGGTCGAGGAGTTGTCTGCCATTCAAAAAGCTTGCACTGATATTCGTCCTGGTGAAGAACCTGCTATTACATTTATCGTTGTCCAGAAGCGACACCATATCCGGTTCAAACCACATGATCCCAGGTAATTAGACGAAATTTTACTGCTCGTAGCTATGATGAAATGTTTGGATATTCGATACAGTTTTTATTTTCAGACATGTTAGATGTTTCTTCAAGACCATATCTCGCATTTTCATTTTGACAGGGCACGGAATGTGGAACCAGGGACTGTCGTAGATACAGATATTACTCATCGTAGAGAGTTCGATTTCTATATTTGTTCTCATGAAGGGATTCAGGTAACTAGTTTCTCTTTGTTGATGATTATTTCTTCCAGGGAACATCAAAACCATCCCACTATCATGTATTATATGATGACAGTAACTTTACATCGGACGCTCTTCAAATGTTTACGTACCACTTATGTTATGCTTATATGCGGTGCTCTCGTAGTGTCTCTTACCCTGCTCCAGTGTATTATTCTCATTTAGCTGCGTTTCGTGCACGAGATTGGCTATCAAACACGAACGAAGCAAGTGTTTTGCTTGATGGTTATGATCGCTTCAAAGTTCACATATCACAAACTGATGGGATGTTTTTCTTGTAAAGTTTCGTTAATTCATTATTCCGGAGAAAACTGTCTATTTTAATATAGACCATTACGTTTAATAAACAAATTAACGATAAATATAATTGTACAGTTCTTGTTAATGAGGTCGTCGAAAAAGAAATTTTCCCCGCTAAATTCTCTTATTTATTTATTTCATCATTTATTCGAAATAAATTGCATTTATAATGGTTTATGTTGGTTTTAACTTGAGTGATTGAATATATTTTATAACTCGTTATCCCATTCAATTCGGCCCTCAGTAATAGACTTTAAATTTGTTGTTAGTCCAACTACTTGATGCAGTGAAGGTTACGAGTTTCTGATTACATAACTACATATGGTTTGTTTTTCTATGGTGTGTACTTATTATATCATACGATATTGTCAGGTAGTTGAAGGCATTGTCACAAAGTTTCTTAACAATACAACAATAGGGAACATATACACAATTTACTATTCACAAATATTGAGGAGTAAAAAATGGTTGATCTAAAAAAGGCAAATAGTGCAATAAAATATGCAGCTGATAAAGTTTTTTTTTTGTTTTTAGCTGTGAGAGATCTGTATACACGCTGATCAGTGTACTTGTATTAGAGCGTAGTTTAGTTGCTCATAAAAACAATGTTTTAATAAGACTTGTATTGTAGGAGATTGGGCCAAAAGTATTGAAATGGAGATAATGATGAGCCTTGGAAGATTTATGGTAAATAGGACGTTAAAGTGAATCATTATCATTTCTTGTGATCCACAAAAGTTGTTCTATCCTGTAAATGATGTTTTTAGTTGTACTGAAATTAGAAATTAGGAATTAGTCTTCATGGTCCCAGTTGTCACATACGATAAAAGCATCATCATAAAATTTGAAATCTTGATATGAGGCTTTGAAATTTAGTTTTTAAAAAAATATCAGAAAAATCCATCAAATACTTTTCTAGATTCATCCGAAAACTTGTTTGTTCAACAGATTTAGATAGTTCTTATATTATTTACAAACAGTTTGCTTAGTTCTACTCCACTCGAGATGTTGGATAGTGTTATGCAACATAATGAGTTTAAACTACTCTCATATAGTTTACAACATATCAAAGTAAGCTCACTTCATGTCATATTATTTGCTTCTATTTTGTAAAATACTAATAAACCAGTATCGAGGATGGTGTATGTTGGAATATTCAGAAAAATATTCCAAAAATTATCCTGTTAAGTTAAATGCTATCCTTGAACGTGAAATCGTGTGTCATTTTCCTACTGGTCAATATTTATTTCACGTGTCAATATTCACGGTAGTCCTAACTGTATAAATATGCATCTGTCTGTAAATTCTTATTCTTCTTCTCCTAACCCTACAAACAATTTCCTTCTAATAGTTCGTGTTCTGACATATTGGAGATCGTGGAACAGTATTGGGGTTGTACTGGGATATCTGAAGTTGGCCGATCGGTAGAATTTAGAGTAGCCACCCCGCGGTCCACATTAGTATACTTATAAGTTGTTATGTTTTACTGCAGAACAAGTGAAAATGTGAACTATTAACCTTATTTTATTGATTAACAGTAGGTCGTTATTTATGTATCTGTATAGATGAATAACTTTGTGTAGTATAGCAGATTCACGACAAACAAGTGGTAAACTTTCAAAAGATTAGTTTCTATATTTTGTTTGAAAAATGGTAATTTATAATGGAGGACCTATGTTTGTTGGGTCGTGATATTAAATCCGTAAGCAAACTTACATTACATCCCGTCTTTGATTTTAAATCAAACTCCGATGGTTTCCTGTGTTTAATTTAGTTTAAAAAAAACTCACATTGGCGTCAGTTACAATTGGATATTTAAATACTTTTTTAAAACAACCGAAAAGCACACTTTTGGAGTAGGTAATATGAGACTACTAAATTGGTCTACGGTTAACTGGATACATAAACTATGACATTTTAGTAAACATGAAAATAAGAGTATTGCACCGACCAAATATGTTTGTATATTCCCATCATATAAGTAATCTACGAGAAGGCAAACAAATATAAAGTAATTCTGATAATATCAATTTACAAAATCCTAACATTGTGTCGAACACCACCAGAAATGATATAACCGACTCAAGCTTATACGAATTTCTATCCTTTTATTAAACAAATCGTTTTTTTTTTCATTTTATAGATGTTAAAGTACACTTTACAAATTTTATTTATGTCTCTATGAGCGTAGTGGGAAAAGGATTAATAAACAATACTAACTAATACAGTGGAAATAAGTTGGAGAGTCAGGTCTTAATTTCACTACCACTTGAGTAATATATAATAGAACCCGTCTTTTCAAATCATTCAGAATCGTCAATACGAATATCAAGACAGTTCTATTGTGCGAAGGTGTAACTTGGAGAACTACCACAACCACCATCAAAAAGTACAATTATTTATAAACAATTGTCTACACAAGATATTGACACCAATGAAATATTTATCTTAGTTGACTTTTTATGTGCTCTGTCGACTTAACACTTAGGACAACGTTAAATTAAAAGTCGAATACGAAAGTAATTTCCGACGTTCATTAATGCATACGGACGATAAGCTATAAGGATCAGAGAAGGAATAAAATCCTATTCAACATAATTGAACATAACATGGGGCTCACTGTAAGACACAAGCAGGAGTATAGATACTATAATATTGAATAAAGCCATTAATAATAATAATAATAATAATACATATTACCATGCACGCATGCTCAAGGGCATAAATGACAGAATGACTGGAAAATTATAATGACTCATCTGTCCAGAAGTTAGGATAAACACGTAGGTGTGAAATAAAATAAGCTCTTTTAGTCTATCGATCAGCATTTCGCCCCTTATTTTCATGTTGACAACCCTAAATATGTTCATCATCAAAAATCTTCAACCCCTCTAGAACACAATTAAATTTGTTCCGCTTATTTTTCTACTTATAAATTAGTTTAAAGTAAACAATTTTAAAGAAAGTAAACTGAATTACAATGAAAAGGAGTATCGGGAAGTAATTATGAGAATTAAGCGATGCTTTCTGGTAAATAATTAGTTCACTGAAAGTTTTGACATGTCTTTTGGACTTTCCGACTTTTCCGAAAGTAACTTTAACAGAATAACGTGTATCTGTTTTTTGTGTATTACACAAGGGATTATAAGTTTACAAAATTAATTATCTGATACATTCCTCAAAGAATGGTTGACAGGGGGAAAATATTTAACGATACTGCTTAACCGCTTCACATTCTTATTATCTGTTGAATGTATTTCATTGACTAAACGGTCTGAAGAGTATAAACTGTGCAATTCAAGTTGATTGTTTATTCACTAGGTATAAAAGTTATCATTTTTGGGGATGAGGTGATCTTAGTCTTTACACACTTCATGATAATTACTAGTATGTCAGGATTTATAAAAAGCTAAGAACAAGAAAATATTTCTCCAGTATGTTGGTTCGGGATGTATGCATCACGTATATTTATCCGAAGACCGTGTATTCTCAGTCCTTAACCTAACTGCCAAGTACCAGGATGGAGACAACACAGTAGTCGATTAGATCCTCATGAACTGTCGTATGTATGCTTTTGCATTGTAAGGTTTTTCCAGAGTTTGAAGTGGGGTGGGGAAAGCTGTCGTTTCGTTATTTATACCTATGGTCCAACCGGCTGACGTAAAGAGGTAACATTTAATTAGTTCTGTCGCCAACTAAATGACCTCAGTGAAAGCTCAATGACCTATGAGAACTTGCCTATCTCAGGTTGAATAGGCCACAAGTACAAAAACCATCCCTCAAGCTTGTAATCTAATAGATCATACCGTAATCTGTTGTTGGTGTTGAGGTTGTGGGAGATAATGCTGCTCTCTTTCAGGTACCTATCTGGATTCTGAATATCTTGTAGTAAGTGGCGAACCCATCATGGATTATGCAAATTAGGAACTAATCACCCTTAACATGTTGATGTAAGCGAATCGACTTCAGCTACCATTGCAACCAAATATGGTACGGCGTTGTGTTCAAGACTATCTGTGTCTATCCTCTTGAAAGTATAAATGGTCAGTAGTTACACTTAAAAATGCGTGTTCAATTACATGCATTTTGTATTAAGCCTATTCCACTACTGTATTATTTAACTGCTCACTGTAATTTAAACACTTAATCCATCATGTAGTTTTCTATGTGAATCTGATTGAGCACATTTCTGCACACCAATCTTTAATCTATTCTCCCATTGGTTGTAATACACAGACAATCAATAATTTATCCATACTTGATTAGCACTCATAAATATATATGAGTATTTAACACACACACACACACTTGGTTTCCCTGTGTGTTTGCTTCCTGTAAGCTTGCGCGTTTTACCAATCGTTAACAATGAACTATCTCTATAACTGGTGTTCAGGCTTTTGAATAATCTTGAGTAAGTCCATAATTCTACTAGGAGATCTAGCCTGTATTAAATACTTAGTTGACGGGATACTATTTAGTGGAGTCAGATATATACAAAGTTGGTGACCCGCATTTAGAACACGCACTATTTCTCTACAATCTCTTTGTATGGTTTTGCTTATAAATACGCTTTATTTAGTCTCTATACATTCCCTTGTTACCCAATGGATTATGCGTACCATTAATAAAGTAGGTAGCTTAAACGTGAGATATTAAAAGCATACGTTTAAACCGCGGAATCTGATGAATATGGACTGCTATTGAGTTGGAAGCATAAGATGCATCTAGCAAATATTCCGAGCTATTACCACTAATCTGGTTTCAGTAATACAATTTTTGGGGTCAAAGACTATTTCATTAGCACAATTTGGACACTAGATTAGGATAGTGGATAGTTCAACTGACTGGTTGTTCCAAAAACTTGAAACACACTGCCCTGTTCTTTAACAGTGTACACTTAACGAAGGAGAGGACTGGAAAGGAAGTTTCAGTTTATCTGGGCAACTATCTATTGTTCCAGAACAGTAATGATTTCAGATAACTTTACCTAGTTTAGACATTTATTACTCTCTTGATCTACCCACCCAATATTATACAGGAGAGACAATATATATATACTAAAGACGAGGTCATTATGACACTGATCTACAAAGTTTACTATATTTCGATCACTACGATAGATTATATATTTTTAAAACTGGATCTAGCATTCCGTCATTCATTTTTGTCCCAAAA